TATTTCTTGTTCTAAAGGTGTTGATATAATTATGGACCCATTAAATGGAGAAGATAGTGTACGCGGCTATAATTTACTTAAACCATTAGGTAGAATTATTTATTTTGGTATGTATTTATTCGATTTGTTAATAATAATCAATAGACATATTTACTATATTGTATATAGGTGCATCAAATGTTGCTGCTAGTGGTGAAAATCGTTCATTATTAACAGCATTTAAAACATGGTATAAATGTTTTTCAACAAATTCATTATCGATTTTATCAACCAATAAAAGCATTGCTGGTTATCATCTTGGTTATTTATTGAAAGATCTTGAGAATACAAAAGATTTAGCATTGAATACCATAAATGAATTATTTCGATTATATAAGGAAGGTGCAATTAAACCACAAATAGATAGTATTTATCCATATTCAAAAGTTGGTGAAGCTATGCAACGTATGCATAATCGACTAAATATTGGAAAAGTTTTATTACAACCTGATGATGAAGCGAATGCTAACAAGAATAATGATACAACTCCTGAACAAGAACAACAAAAAGTTGAATAATTATTTTCTTATGTTATTATTTCAAAAAAAGAAACTGATACTTTTTATTCTATATCCTATTGTTCCCTTAGTTGAAGTCAAACATTTTTCTAATCAAATCATAAATATAAAAAAGAAAACATTGAGAAAATACATATGTAGTATTTGCAATCATTCATTATAGTTATATTTTCAGTTTGTATGAAAAGTAATGATAGATATTCATCTGATCATCATGTCAATGAGAGATTAATCACAAGTATAAAACTGTATATTATAAAAAGACTAAAGTATATTGATTTTGAGTTCTATTTTGATCTTCTCGTTGAAATACATAAATTATGTTTTGTCTGTAATCAATTTTTGAAATATGATTACTCAAAATGATTTTTTATCATAGAATATTAGGGATATAGATTCTTATTCTTAAATGATTGGACTTTGACCAGCTGAAGTTTAACAACATCAATTTACTTTAAATCGACCAGTAGTGTCAACCGATGGTCAAACGATAACTGATCTCTTTACAAATATCTATGCAATTATTTGTGGCCTAACATGTAGTTTTGATGGTCATGTTGAATGTGTATTTTTCTTATGCTTATGTAAAACGAAATTAGGGTAATAGGAGTTTTGCCAATGGAATTTCGATAATGTCTGAATTCTACTAGAATTTCAAAAAGTGTCCAAATTCCATTTGCAGTTGGACAATATTGTTGATTTTCCCCAATAGTCAGAATTCCATCAGAATTCACACAATATACGCAATGGTTGGAACTATTGTATCTGGTTGAAACACCGATTCCCTTATTTGTGCATTAATACCAAGCTAAAAATTCGTATGCAAGTATATTAAGTATCACATGACAATCGTTTTTTTTGGCTAGCAGTACAAAAAAAGCAAAAAAAACAAAACGTATAGTTAGTGTAGGATTGACCCTATCAAGAGAAGTTGAATAAAGAAAAGGGTGTGGGTTTAAGGGTTGACGTGTATCTGTACGTAATTGGAGAGATAACACACCCGCACCCTCAGTGTATTATCACGAATAAGTGATAACCAGGTCTACAATATTGATTCTATTATGAGCTTGTGAGGATGAATAATTTCGCTATAATATTCACCTTTGCCCGTCAACCTCGCTTAAATAAAGAATGAGCGAATTGCCAAGTATTACAAGTTGCGCATGACATACAGGACAATTGCACGGAATGATGGTTTTAGGAATACAATGTGAATAGTGAGAATTGATTATTTCGTGAAGAGATGATAAACGATTTCACTCATTTATTGGAAGACAAAGATAACAGCTGAGATAGAAAAAGTAATGTGAAAAATGCGAAATGAACTACGTAGTGTTTGTGGAAAAGAAAATACTAAAGATATTTCTAGCAAACTTTCAACATGAAGTTCGATTTATTATTCGAATCATTTTCAACATTATTCATGTGGGAAAATCAAGAAGAACTTAAGTACATTATCGATTTCCTATAAATCTATAAAAGGAATGGTCTAATTTGAAACAAGTTGGGATAGCTCTTCATTGCATGAATTAGCCTTTTTTAAGGGGTGGCTTGACAATAAATTTATTGATTATTTTAAGGCATTCGGAAGTTTACAGCGGATGTTGATCGAAAACAAGGAAAATCATATTGTATAGCTTTGGGCAAGCAGAATAAAATTAAAATGTGCTTCTTTTCAAATTCGGATGATATAGTGAACGATTTGGTAAGGCGGCATTTTATCGAAAGATTGACCGAGTCCTTGTGAACCTGTTGAACCACTGATCGTATGGGTATGGTCACCGTTGGACTGTATTGAGATGCCTGTCGTGTCAGAGGAGATCGAATGGGTGTGAGTACCAGCATCAGTACCAAATCCCCCGCTGAAGCCACTCATAGTGAAACTGCCACCCCTCATAGAGGCGGTCCCAGTCGCTCCTCCGTGATCATGTCCTGGATCAGTGATGGTATGTGTGTGTGCACCGTTGGTGGCCGTTTGTAATGTACCTTGATTGTGAGTATGAGCTGGCAACTCAGCTACCGTTAAAGTGTGCGACGCAGTACCACCAGAAGTGAGTGAACTCTGACCATAAGTGGCGCTACCGAATGGGAATCGCGATCGTAAATCAGGTAAATTGAAAGTGTCTACACCATTGTCTGCTCCAAAAGTAGTACCAATGACAATGAACAAATCGCGATAAGTTGATCGAGATACTTCAGAACCATTACAAAACAACCATTGACTATCCGACTCAATGAGTGTCGATGCACTACCACTATAAAGAAGAATTGTACCAGTCGGCACCTCTGAAACAAACAGTGTCTCATTATTCCATTGATAGTTCCTTTAACATGTTGAAAACTCTGACATAGTAAAGTAGAAGGAAAAAAAAGGAAGAAGTTATATTGAGGTGGAACAAGTGAAGCTAGATTTTGACAGTATAGTCGAAGATGACATACTTCAGAACTTAATTTTTATTTTATTTTTTGAGTGATTCATTGCGTCTTACTTTGTCGTAGACCAAAAATAAGAGCCAGACATCCAAGAATAAGACCGGCAAGTGCAACACTACAAACTATACCAGCGATAGCTGCGTACTCGATAATTCGCTTCGTTTGTTTCATGTCTGTGCTAAAGAAGCAAAAATAGGGTTTCTAAATCAAGGTGACTTCCGATTTCATTCCACTTACTGGTTTTCGGACGATGGCAAGGTTGCTTGCCTGTCAACCTGAACATAAATCAGTCTAAGATTCAATCACACCAGTATTCTATTTACTTACGTTCGCCTCTGCACTGTCAACGGTATTTGTATTTATTTTAGAAGATGGAACTGGCAGTCGAAGACGATTCCACGTTAACAATGTGTGTCGATAAAAGTCATGATGAATAGGAACTCCCTTAGAGGGTATTGCTGAACTTCTAAAACAGTTCATAATTGGGGTATTGTCTACCAGAATTCCTATGTTTAGTTTCTTGAAACTTTTCTTCGCAATATCGCTGTATTGCTTTCAAACAAGATGAGAAAATTTCCATGTGAATCCACAAATCACTTTTTTTTACGATGTAAAATTACTCTCAGCAATGACAAATTAGCTATATGTGTTTTGACTATTGCTGTAGTCAAAATTTAAACATGTTCTTAGTTTTGCAGCTTTTGGTTCTCATGAAAACTAGATTATCCTAACAGAATTCGCTTTCAAGAATATCAACACCATCTGAAATTCTGATTTCATGATACCTTGTCACTTGTTAGTCAAAATGCTTTCATTAACTCACCCGAAATGATGAAGTAATATTACTAGCACAATTCACAAAACTGCGAAAATCCTCTGTTGATTATTTTTCTTATGTAACATATCTCGATGGAAATTAATGTAAACTTCAGTTGTATTTTATGAGGCTTTTTTATGGTACAAATTTAGCAAAATCGTCTTCGTTGTTTAATAAATTTAGACTTTCTTCATATGGAATGGTCTTGCAATAATTTCAAGTATCTTGGATACACGAAGATATTCAAAAATGTAACCAATTTCGATTTTTTCCTTTGACATCTGACATATGTATTTATTCGCTCGCAATATTCTCAAACTAATTATTTAGGCATTGCGTGACCGAGTCTCGAGTAAATAGATCTGCCAATCACTACTATAAACACTTTGCTAAGGCTGAAGAAGAAATCCATGAATGTTACATAGTAAAATGTACAAGTAAAAACAACAGTTTAACAACTTGTAACACAATATTTGAAGGACTCTCACTGAAGTATGACTCAGGATAGCATTACTAACCACAAATTACATAATATCTCTGAACATATAAGCTATTACTAGTTCACAGAAACAAAAATGTTTGGAGCTTTACGGAAACGGAGTACAAGTTGGAGTTGAAAATCTTTTACTTCACAAGAGACTACCGGTTAATTTCTCAAGATTTATATCGAAAAAAAAACAATTTCAATAGTAAAAAGCTCTGAATAAAGCTTAATTTATTCGACTATCGTTCCTCATTTCTAATATGGACAATGATTCGAAAATGAGTTTTCACTTTGTGTCGGGTAACACTCACGAGTTATCAGAAAAGCCATTATTAGCCCAAGCACCATTGTTTATATTGACAGGATGTTGAGAAAACGAATCAATAGATACCATGTTTGGTTGAGAAATCAGCGGGCCAGATTCAGTCAAATTGGATATGCGACAGTCAATGTGTGACTCAAATTAACAACATTGACATAGACTTTATTTCAAATTACTTAATCAGTATCCAACACTTGTATGGCATATGTCTAAAATCGTCTTGTATTATACGAAGCATAACAAAAAGAGTGTTGAAATTAAGCTGTGCTGTTGTGATTCATGAACAACATTAATAACGAAAAATCGAAACGATAGCAAACAAATCATCAAACAGTCTACGTGAGAATTAATTGAGTACACAAACCGAAAAATATTTACAAAAACTCCTAAATCATGCGAAGATACCTTTCAGGTACTATTTTTCTCTATAACGGCCGACTTTTTTTTCGCAATCGTTTAATTTTTTTAGAAGAAGAAGTGTTGAGAGTCTAGATGTGGGTGTGTTGATCTGAGCTTGGGTTGGAGTATGAGTATGAATATGATGGAAATTGTTGGCGTGCGGAAGTGTTAGCCTATGAGAATGCTAGCATTTAGCTACTCATTTGACTCTATATACTCCATTTTCTCTTTTTTCGCTGAGAAAAGATTCTCATATCAAGGTTCACGTTTTCTTAACGTGTCCACCAATAGTAAAAAAATGCTCAACAATATCGAAATTCATTGGAAAACTTTAGAAACTCGTAGACTCACTTTTAATTTCTCTTGAAACAGAATCATTATGCAAAATCCAAGTAAGAATATTGTTCAAGACTTTCGGTAAGATCATATTCTACGAAGTCAAGGTATCGAAAATTGTGTTTTTTGATTGCAGACTCGATTATTTTTCTTGGAGTCATGCATTACTTTGTCAAGAAATCTGTTTGAGTCTCTTTTGAATATCTGAT